AGCTGTTGTGGACTCACTGTTTAAGTCCCTTCAAATTCGTAGGTTAGCATTCCGACCTCTGACTGGAATATTAGGAGCTGGGGGATGATTAGGTTTAGATGTCCTCATGAGGGTAGGGTTCCACAGTAGGTCTAGTGCCCCTCTGAGGTGAGGAAGAGACATCAGCGCTTCCTGTCTTCAAGGAAGAGGTCAGGGGATCAGGGGTAAGATGACCACTCACGTGCTATGGAAAGGGGCCTCAGGGTGAAACTTTTCAGGCTGGGCCTCTTGGTCTTTCCACCTTCTAGAACTGTGTAGACGAAATTCCCATTGCCTAAGGCCCTCCTCCCCCAAGCCTGTGGCATTACATGATGGCAGTGCAAACTGACTAAGGCGAGAATGTTCTGATAACATCTGTCAAATACAGCCCTGCCAGTCTCAGTTTTCTGGGGAGTGAGAGACTCCTGGAAAGAGGCAAGGCGGAGACTGAACAACTTAAGACTAAGCATCTGCTAAAACACCCAAGAACTGTCTCATATGAGCTCAGTCCTCAGTGATCCAGGAAATAGGACAAGGCCTGCAGATTCGAATGTGCCACAGAGGGCCTGCTCTTTTCTCGAAGGGACGGCGGCTCTGGCTTATGTCCTTGTTCACAAAGGACCCGGGGACCGCTGGTTAGGATCAGCGCAGCTCTGCCAGTCAACCATTGCAACAGTCCGGCAGGAACACAAGGGCCTCAAACCCTGGCCTTGGCTCCGGGACCCCATGACTTTATCAGGATCCCTCACAGACGGGCAGTCTGTCTCTCTTCCCAGGAACAAGGACAAAGGAGTCTCTGTCACCCCAGTCAGTTGTCTGACCCAGAAGTTTAGTCCCTGGCTACAAGGCAAAGTATGACCATGGCAAAGTCAGGCCGACCAGTGCACCCGAGCAGACACTGTACAGTTCTGAAAGCAGCGGCGGCAGCAGGCAGCCCGCTAGGGACCTCTGTAATGACGCCAAAAGCCACCTGAAAAGACATCCTATCTGGGCAGCTCTAAGATGCAACTTTGCTATACACATTAACACCTATGACTCTGACGTGTGGGGTGCTTGGTCTGGGAGCACCCCCGCTTTCTGGGGCTCTCAGACCCAACCCAGCATCAGCGCAGGCGCATGCGCGCTGCTGCCCCGCACAGGCCCACAGACAGCCGAAGGCTAAATCAAATCGAAGGGATTTGTCATTTACAGGGTGAAAATGGGCAGGAAGGAAAGCTGTTGGCACACGCCTTTTAATTTGAACTATTTAGGTATAGTGAGAACCTCTTCCTTCCTGCTGGTAGAAAATTCAACTAACAATTCTGTTAACAACTGGTGGGTAAATGGTTCTTTCTCTACAAAATGAACTGGATTTATTGAGGTTTGCCTTCAAATGAATTCTCCCCCAATTTTAACCTTTAAATCCAATCAAAAGGCATATTTTCCCTAACAGCTGCATGTTACACACGTAACTCCCCACTTGCAGCTGCTTCTCCACACCTCTGATGCATGGGGACAGGGACATGCTGCTACCCTGATGCCATTTTCAGAGGTGACATCAGAAAAATAAGGGCAGGGTGGTAACAGTCTTTTCTTTTTGAGACAGGGTTTCACTATGCAGTCAAGGCTGGCCTTGTACTCTCAGAGATCCTCTTGCCTCAGCCTCCCGAGTGTTGGGATTACAGGCGTGGGCCACCATGCTGGGCCAGTAAATTAACCTTAAACCTGAGTGTTTTTAATCCAAAGACTTAGATTTTGTTTCCTTCCTACGCTTGTTGGCATTCAAGGACATTTCAACTAAGAATACAATAATTCATTGCCATAAAATGTCAAAATCCCTCTTTTCCAGGGATTACAACTACTTTTAACTTAATGGTATGCGACTGAAGCTTTTCTTTATTTAGGTTTTTCCCCCAAATGAATTCTAATATAAAACACTTCAGTGAAAAGAATAAATCCATAAATATTTTAATACACTTATTTACCTCACCCCTAACACAGCTAATCAGTGGCAGACAATATATTTGTTCTGAAGAGAGTTAATTTCCCAGATTAAACATGCACGTAAACACATAAAGCTGACAGTAGTTTGAGATATATGACACTAATAAAGGGAACATTTATGGGGCCAGCCACCAGGCTAGGCACTTTATTGGATTACCTCAGTTAATCCTCACAGCAAACCTATAAAGTAGGCGCTATTCTTATTCCCATTTTATAGGCATGACAATAAATGAGGAGCCTCATTACTGTAATTTAATCTCCACCAACACAGAATTCAAGTTTGGTGTTTACTCGGGCTATAAAAAGGTCGAATAAACAAATTAGAAATTAAAGAGGACCGCTGAAGGCATCGTTAACTTATTAGAAGATTGTGTGTCCTAAGAGCTTCCGCCAAACACGCGCCGGTTACTTCCTAACTGTGACGCTCTGGGAAGATTCTGCGAGACACTGACGATTCAGACTTCCACTCTGGAGGAGTGGGTTCCGCTCAGCAGCACCCCCAAGATTAGTCCAAGTAGTAACTAGGCTCTCAGCACCAGCCCCTTCTCCGTAGGAGCCCCCTCCCAGAGTTGTGTACCCCACTGCGTACCCCTGGCCTCCCCTTTCTCACGCAGAAGCCAGTCTGAGGGAGAACCGACCCAGGCAAGCCGCAGGGGAGACGAGGGCACCTGGGCGGTTCAGGCTCGATCACCCACCGAGGCCCTTCTGCCTGCGCTCCACGGCTGCACGAGCTCAAGAACGTCCTGTGCTCTCCGAGAGCCTTCGGCTTTGCTGTTCTGGTTCCGTGCCTCAAGGAATCCAAAACGATAAACCGGAAGCAAGAGCCTGCCTGGTGTGAAACAGACTGAAATCTTAACCCAGAAGGTGATGCCACTGGGTGTGGGGTGATGAAGTGGTAAAGGGGAAGCAGGGTTAGCATTCTTATAAAAGAAGCCTGAGGGCCCGCCAAATAGCTTAGCGGACTAAAGCGCCTGCTTAGGCAGAGAGCAGCGACCGGCCGGGGTTCAATCCCTGGACCCCGCCTCCTGGGCGCGCTGAGACGACCATTGAGACTGGGTGTGGTGGCACATGCCTGTAATCCCACCACTTGGGAGGCTGAAAACAGGAGAATCACTACGAGTCCAATCTACGTTGTGAAACCCTGTAGAGACCCTATAATATATATGAGGCCTGAGAGGCGAGGTAGCTCAATGGTCTAAAGCGTCTGCTTAGGCAAGCTTAGGCAAAGTGTAGGGACCGTGGTTACATCCCTGGCACCACATGCTGCGCCAGCCCTGCCCCCAGGATGGAGTGAGCCAGCTACACACACACACACACACACACACACACACACACACACAAGAGGCCTGAAAGGCAGGCATGGAGGCACATACCTGTAATCCCAGCACTCAGGAGGCTGAGGCAGGAGGATCACCAGGAGTTCAAGGTCAGCTGCACTACTTAGCAAGACCTTGTCTCAAAAAAATCCCAAAACAAAACAAAAAGAAGAGGCCATCGAGAGAAGTTCCTGGCTCCTTCTGCTATGAGGACTCAGTAAGAGGCCTGCATCCCTGAGGATGGCCTCGACGTGCCAGCTCCAGACCCTGGGTACACGTCACTTGCATGGCATGCTCAGCTCTGCCCACCTGAAGCCATCCGAAGCCCTTCCTGGCACCCTCCCAATTCTTCTCAGCTGTCCTGAATGTTTGGGAGGCCAGATGTCACCAGCTTTCAAACCACTTCAGTGAACAATTGTGTGGGTGTAGGCAAGCCGCTGACCTTGTCTCTAAGCAGGTGGGTTTGGGGGGGTCCCTTGCAGCCAACAGTCTGTCACTGACCTCTACCTGTGGAGCTCACGCAGTCAAATGCAAAGGCAACTTGCCCCACTCTGTAACTGGGCCTCTCTTCCTTTTGGGGTACATACAGTAACCCACCCCTGTCACTGCCAGTTGGGATGTTCAACCCCCTGAGCTTGTTTCTCCCAGCCTGACCTACAGCAGAATAAAGTCGCTTTGGAGCCAGAAGCAGCAGTGTGTGCCGGTCATCGCAGCGCTCTGGGAGACAGAGGCAGGAAAATTGCTCTGGGGGCTACTTAGTGAGACCCCGTCTCAAAATAAAAAGTAAGAAGGGCCAGATTGGGCTACAAAGCAAGAGCCTGTAGGAAGAAAGAGAGAGAGAGAGAGAGAGAGAGAGAGAGAGAGAGAGAGAGAGAGAGAGAGAGAGAGACAGGGCATGTGCTGAGCCCTCCCCTTCCTTGCCATCCCCTCTGTCACTAAGAGTGTGCGAAAGAGCTGCTGCTTGCTGCACCAGGGTTCACAGCTGAAGAAAATACTTCAAATCCCAGGCCCACATAAAGATACGGACTCCTTCTCTCGGGCACCTGTGTGGCACATGGTAGAGAAAGCTCAACTGTATGCCCATTTCCTAGAAAGGCAAACTGAGCTCAGAGTGGCTCACAGGGCAGGAGGCGACAGACACACTAGGAAGCCCCGGGGCCAGCAGGAGCTCCGCACGTAGGAACAGGGCCTGGCCAGCTCTGCACGCTCCCAGGGCCTCCCTGCCGCGCTCTACAGACACCCAGCCCTTTCCAGTTCCTTCTCAACACACGGGGGCTCTGTCCTGCAATGGCCTTCATGTTCTTTGTTGTTGTTGTTTTGGGACAAGATCTCGCTGTATAGCCCAGGCTGGCCTCAGCCCTCCTGCCCCAGCCTCCTGAGTGCTGGGATTATAGGACGATCATAGGCTACCACCTCTGGCTATGGATTCTTAACTATTTCCAACAGCTCTGCGGAGAGAGAAAAGGCAGGATGTCCTCTGCCCATCCTGAGGACACTGAATAACCAGCCATGTGCAGGTAGGTCGAGGGAAAAGTTTCCAGAAATCCAGGGTGTCCAGGCCCCAAGCAGCCCTCTTCCCCTTCTTGTTCATTTTCTAAACTCCAGGGTCTGGCCACGGCCATACCACCCTGAACGCGCCGGATCTCGTCTGCTAAACCCCAGGGTCAAAGAAACAGTGCTCACCCCTTTGCCACACACCGCTCTGACGCCAAGAACCCCAGAGACGCTGCCTGTTGCAGGAGGTGAGAGCGGTGCGCTCAGGGCCGGGCCGCTGTGGTGCCTTCCTCCTTTGGCATCCTCCGGAGCCGGGGCCTGCGGGAGAGACCCAGTGAGACTTGGTGACACAGGGAAACCGGAGGGACAGTCTGAGAGGACTGCCTGGGAAGGCCCCAGCCCAGGCCACCCCAAGAAGGCCCTGAATCTGAGCAATCAGGGCTCTCTTCATCCCGCTCACCCTGCACCTGACCCACCAGCAAATGCTCTCAGCTCTTGCTTCAAGCTGCCACCATTAGGCCTGCGCCTCTTCCACTGGGGTCCCGCTAGCGGCGCCCCACGCATTACTGCAGTAACCTAACCTCCACCTTCCCCTTTTTGAGTGCAGTGGGCCAAACTGGTCTCCCCAAAACTCTATGCTGAGGCCCTAACTCCTAGGATCCCACAAGGGATGGACATGGGGTCACTGCAGATGTGGTGGCTTCATATGAGGGTGGGGACTGGGGTCCCCATAAAATGAGGACAGATGTGTGAGGGGGACACTACCAAAAAGCTGTCTTCCTGCCACATGCCAAGGGATATAGTCTTAGTCCTTCGGTCCTCACAGGCAGAGCACCCAGCGACACCTTGATCACCTTCCAGTCACTTGTCCTGCAATCCAGAGAGAGCAGTATCCCAGTTCCTCGGCTCCCTCACACTCCCAAGCTCCAAGCCAGCCACAGTGCCAGCTGCAGGTGTAGACCGCAGATCCCTGGGGAACATGGACAACTGTGCCGAGGATGCCTGCACCTGTCCCTGGCTCCCCAGGGCCTCCATGGTCACCATGCTTGCTCCACAGAACAAGTCTGGTGTCCAGGTGACAGAACTGAAAAGGATTTTCAGAAAATACAGAGAACTAGGACATGGAGGGAGGAACACAGCCTCCTTCCCTTGCAGGAGGTGAAGGGTCTGACAGCTTCTTCATGTTTTAATTCTTATCTTTGTTAGTCCAGGTTTGAGGCACATAATGGTCACATTCATCGAGGGAACTGGCACATGTACATAACACACTGATAGTCTTTCTATGTCCCCTTCCCCTCCCCCACTTCTTGGTTCCCTTCGCACTTGAGGAAGAGCTATGTCCTTACTTCCTGTAACAGTGGCACCTCGGTTTACAAACTTAATTCATTTCCCCTCCAGTCAACCCTGAACCTAACCGTTGAATTTGATTCTTGTCCAATTGGGTTTGCAACTAGTTATGGAAAGAATTAAGTTCATGAACCATGGTACCAATGTATCTTTTTTTTTTGGTTCCCTATTTAAAAAAAAAAAAAAAAAACCACATGATATTAAGCTTGTGTGTCTAATTTATTTCACTTAACATTATGGATTTGAGGTGTATCCACTTTCGTACAGTGACTCAAGATTATCCTTCTTTATGACAGAGAAATACGCCATTGTGTGTAAATATCACCCACTATCTGCTGATGGACATGTAGACCACTTCTAAGATCAAGCTAAGATGAGCTGTGCTGCTAAGAGCTGTGCCTTAGTCGGGGGCAGGCGATCAGCTGAACCAAGTGTTCCCTCATCCCCACCAAGTGTTCCCTGATCCAGGGGCTCAGCATCCTTGCTCAGCCCTCCTTTCACACATGATCAAGGAGAGAGAGAGAGACAGCCCGATTTCCTTCTTCAGGGAAAGGCTTGTCATGGGAGAGACTTGGCTCAGTGGGAGGCCTCATGGTGACCCTAAGAGTCAGGACTGGGTACTGGAAGTGAGAAAAAATAACCCCATTTCCGGGAACTCAGATCTGATCATCTTGGACTACCACTCAACTAATATGGGGTTCCCAGGGCTGCAGGGAGATGCCGACTGAGAAATCAAGTTGTACCCACACCAGGGGCCAAAGAGGCAGCGAGTGCTCGTGACTAAGGTCACAGGCCCTGAGAGCCCGGGATGGAGCCTTGACTTTGCCCCTCAGCAGCTGTTTAGCTTGGGGCTGCTCTCCTGACCTCTGGGTCTGGCTCTACAAGGACTGATACAAGGCCTAAATAAAATCGGAAGTGAGTAAAAAGATCCTGCCCAGCCTTGGCATTATATAAGGGCGAGGTCATGGCCCTTTCTTCCCTCCTTCCAGCCTGCAGACCTCCACTCCCAGCTCTCTTGGGCCTCACTAAGGGGGATGAGTCCAGAAGGGAGAGCTTGCGTGAGACAGTTTACAAAGACGCAAGACAAATGGCAGCAAGGGGCTGAGGCAGGAGGATCTCGCGGTTGAAGCCAGTCTGGGCTACATAGTGAGACCCAAAACCTAAAAACCCCCAGTGGGTCAGCAATGGAACAGAGAGGCCAAGCATGGCTGGTGTGAGGGAAGCCTGGACCCCAGGCCCTGCCCAACAGGAAGTCGGTGACAAACTTGGAAAGCATCCCCACAGTAGGCCACACTCTGGCCTCCGGGTGGGGTGACATGAGCCACACCGTGTGCACTGTGTGTCCTCCAAAGCTACTATGTGTTACCTGTCCCATTCTGTCTTGGGCACCAAGGACAGGGGACTCTCAACAGCTATGGAGGCCAGGGTGACAAGGCGCAGAGGGTTCCTTACCAGCTGAGAGGCCTCAGACAGAAAGAGGAAGTGACGCATAGAGGTCCCCTGGGTCCTGCTTCCCTCTCTGCGGTGGTGGCCCCAGTCCCTCCGCACTCCGTGGGGTGACCTCAGCCTCCGGCTGTCTCCCCCGCCCCCCGACTCTTCCCCCACCCAGTATTAATAGCACTTGTATAGTTCACACTAGGACAGCACTTAGTTGACTTTTTTTTTTTTTCAGTTGACTTATTTCTGAGAGTAGCCATCTAGGGACATAGATGTCACCAACTTGAGGGGAAATTAAAAGTCCTTTCTTGGGGCCACCATTTCCCGGGCACCTGTGGACTGAGATGGTAGATGGATGCCAGAAGTACTTACTAATGAATAGACAACATCAAGCTAGGCATGGGGGGTGCAGGCCTCTGGGAGGCTGAGGCAGGAAGACCCACTAGTTTGATCTCAGCCAGGGTAACCTAGGAACTCACAGTGAGACACTGTTTCAGAGTAAAAAAATGAAAAGGGCTGGGAATCTGCTCAGTGGAAATGCCCTGGGTTCAATCCCCCACGCCACACAACTAACTAACCAACTAAATAAATAACATCAACACCATCCCTACTCCCCCTCCACTCCCGAGCAGGTCCTGTCCCACTTGTTCTGACCCCAGCCCAAGCAAAGACAGGTGCAGCCCTGAGGCCCGCACCCCCAGCTCCTGAGCCCCAGCACGGCCCACCCCCACTCGCAGTGGTTTCCCCGCTCCCTCTCCAAGTCAGGTTCCTTTTTAAAGAAAATGACTCATTTAGGGAGAGAAGAAAACCAAAAACTTCAATGGTAGAGATAAAAGGGCACCAAGCCTCTTTTAAACTCCTCCCACTGCAGGCAGAGCTGAGATCCGATAAGCCTCCCTCGACCCTGCTCATGGGAGCTTACGGTATCCTCCTCGATGCTTCTAGCAAAACACTTCCAGTAACGCTAGCTCTCTTAATGTCTGCGTCTTGGAGGGGAGGGGGAGGGAGGCTGCAGGCGGCAGCTCTGCAAAAACCAGGGAAAGAGAAATTCAAGATTAAAGCTCAGGCCTGCAAGTGGGTCACAAAATGATGTGATGCTCTTCTCCGTTTATGACTCTGATTTATTGAGGCAGGATGTTGCTATTAGGTTATGAGCCTGGCGAAAATTAGGGGGAGTTTCTCATTTAAAAAAAGAAAGACTTCTTGGTATGTGAGGTGTTTATAATCTTTGTGCGCAGTATTTACCACGAATACAATTACATAATACAGGACACAGAGTTGTTGGAGCAACTGCAAAGCCTAAATAAAACCAGGCTAAAATAAGCCATCAGGATGATTCAATCTCAGGGATTCTCAATGTTGGCTGAATTAAAAAAAAAAAAAAAAAAAATTCCCAGGTTCTACTCCCAAAAACTCAGACACATTTGGTCTAGAGAGGAGTTTGGATTTTTAAAAAAAAAATTTTTTTTTTTTTTAATTTCCCAATGATTTGAATACACATTGAGCTGGGGAAAATAGCTCAGTGGTATAAATGCCTGCTTGGCAAGCACAAGGTCCTGGGTTCAATCCCTGGTACCCCCCCCAAAAAAAAAAGAAAGAAAGAAAAAAAGTATTGAATGAGCGTTGAGGGCTGAGGACCATTGATCTACAGATCAGAAAAATGAAAATCGAGGAGGGCCAGAAGCAGTGGTGGGTACTTGTGATCCAGCGCTTCAGGAGGCTGAGGCAGGAAGGTTGCAGTCCTGCCTGGGCAACTTAATAAGATGCTGTTGAAGCAGAGAAAGAAAGAAAGAAAGAAAGAAAGAAAGAAAGAAAGAAAGAAAGAAAGAAAGGAAGGAGGGAGGGATAGGACTGTGGGCCTGGGTTCAATCCATAATACGAAAAAGAATTTTTTTAAAAAAGAAGGCAGATCAGGGTGTAGCTCAGTGCTAGAACATTAACATAGCACAAGCAGGCCCCTGGGTTTGATTCCCAGCACTGTAATAATAATTGTAAGTAAATATGTAAATTAAATAAAGGAGCAGCCCAAGATTGCAGTCAGAAACAAAACAGGAACCAAGTCTGACACTGACAACTCCTAGTCCAGTTCTACAGTTTTGCTCCGATTTCTGGTATAAATTTCTTTTTTCTTTCTTTCTTTCTTTCTTTCTTTCTTTCTTTCTTTCTTTCTTTCTTTCTTTTAAATACAAAGGAAGGGGACTAACAAGAGTTACCATCTTTTGGGTGGTCAAGTAAAGGTATTTCATAAATACCTACTAGTACTAGCACTGGCTCTTTTTTTATTGTTTTCATATATATATATATATATATATATATATATTTTTTTTTTTTAAATTTTATTTTAAAGAGTAGTACCAGCTCTTTAGCTCAACCGCTCTCCTGTTCTCTCCCTGACCCCCCACCCAGGAGCTAAAAGCTGAATCCCCATCACTCACCTGCTCCTTCTGACCAATCCAACCAAAACCGGGCCTCGCATTTCTCTACCTCCTCGCTTCCCTAACTCGGCAGACCCTGGTTTGTACAGGCGCCTCTTC